TGGCATATATATCAAAAGATGATCCTTTTTTTGATACATGTATGAAAGCTCTTATATATACCAATAAGAATTTGGATGTATTAAGCTTAATTATTTTTACTTCACTATTAAGATTTTTAATTTAATTATAAGAAAAATTAAGGTGACAAGAAATCTAATTTATTTGAGAGTTATATATATCTAACTATAATAATCTTAAAATAATTGAATTGAAAGGTGATCTTATCACATTAAATATTAATATACTATTATGATCTTTAATTAATATATTTAAAATAATATTATTATAATTAATATCTCTAAAAGATAATAAATAATCATATATGACTTTTACATATACAAACTTAGTTTTTTTTGACTTTTTTTTCTTAACAAAGACTTTATCTATAAAATAAATTGAGACTCTTGAATCTAATAATATAAAGACTTTGTGAGTTTTAGGTCCTAAATACATATCTATTATAAAATAAAATGAGGGATCTAAAGAGAAATTAGAACCTTTACTATATGTTCTACATGATTCCAATTGCATGATCCTTATTGTAATTGGAAAAACTCATTTTTTGACACATTGTCTTCTTTGGCAATCATGCTCCTTATTTTGTGATTGTATTGCTTTTTTAAATAGTTTTGAATAGTGTACTTAGCTTTTCCATAATATAAGCATAAACTCTCTTAATGACATTGAGTCTTTTCTTAATTAATGAGAGATTTAAAATATATTATATTAATTTGTATTATTTTTAGCCTTCATAAAATAAGTTTCTAAAAATTCAAGAGCTATTATTATTACTTGATTTGTTCTTCTTTAATTAATTCTTTATTCTTGACACCTTTCAAATAATAGATTATTGTATACAATAGCTTGAACAATAAATTATTTTAAAGATTCTGCTTTTGACATAGTCAATAATAAATCTTTGACATTATTCTTTGATCCATATCAAAATTGATTGATAAGGACTTTGTTATTCTAATCCATGTCACAAGCAAGGTTTTGGAATTTAATAGCATATATAATAGTTGTCTATGATCTTTGTTATAAAGATAAGAATTTAATCTCTGCTATTCTTTTTTGATCACTATCCTCAAATATAGCCATAAATACTTTTAAGAATGAATTTAGATCATAAAAGAATCATAAATCTTTTTTTATCAATAATACAAAGTAAGAGAGAATATTTCTAGATAGAAATATACCTATGAATCCAACTTAAGTAAATCCATCAAAATATTAGAAGAAATGCAACCTTAGATAAAACTTGATTTATTACAAAAATCTTCAAAATTTTGATTTTATTCCATCAAAATTATTGGGCATACTATTTTATATCTCCATTGTACTTGTAGAAGTGAAAGATGATATAATATTAAACTAAAATAGATATTACTAAAAACAAGAAGACTTAAAAAATCTTAAGACAAAATTAAAGACTAAAAAAGCATTGACAAGAGTTAAGAAGGCTTTATTCTATATATACTCTTAATTAGGAGTTACATGACAATGTTCCATATGACCTCCAAAATGTGTTGAATTTACAAGATATGTATCTTAACTTGTAAGATGAGTTTTCTACATGTGCGCTATATAGTTAGCTTATCTTACAAGCTATCAATACATGATTAACTTATTGATCAAGTTTTTAACTTACCAATCAATCATAAATACAAATAAAATCAAAACAATGTCTATAAAGCTTCTAAGAAGCTTTTCTAGAAAATATTATGAAATAAATCTAATTTTACTTACATCTATTTAATTATATAGATAAATATTAGAATGAATATGTATACCCATGAAAATTTTCTAATTATTATTAAATCTTTATTAAGAACTTTTTTCAAGTTCCAATTCTTCTTATAGGCTTAATATGTTAAGACAAACTTGAGTAGAGCAAAGAAGTTGAAGCATCTTTTTAATCCTTAAAGACAACATTTATTTTTGCATCAATCTTATATTGCATCAACTTTTTTAAGATATTCTTCATTGAAATAGATATATCAAATTTTGCTTTGGATATTATTTTGTTACAAATAGAAGCAAATGAAAAATTCCATCCAATAGCTTTTCATTCTAAGAAATTTTCAATAGTTGAGATTAACTATGAGATCCACGATAAAGAGCTTGTTGTAATTATGGATTCATTTCAAGAATAGCAGCATTACTTAGAAAGGACCTTAAGTCTAGTCATTGTATATACAAATCACAAGAATCTCAAGTATTTTATATCAATATATGTTTTGAATTGTTGCCAAGCTTGTTAGAACATGTCTTTATCAAGATTTGATTTCAAGACTACTTATCAATTTTAAAAAATAATTAGATTTATCAAACGCCTTTTTTAAATACTTTTATTTTATATCAGAAGAAAGAGATGTATCTTTTTATTAATAAAAAATGATACTTTTGAAGCTAAAGTATTTTTATTTTTAAGCAATGAAATCAACATTGACTATTTATTGAATCTTTTTTAAGCAAGTTCAATTGAATATATCTTTTGATTCTCTATTTTATGATATTAACAATAATTATTCTAAGTCTTGTGATACTTCTAAATTCTAATTCAAGAACAATCTATTCTATTTTCAATGACAATTATGTATTCAAGAAGGCAAAATATAACTATGTATTTTTTAAGTTTGACATGACTTTTCAAAAGTTCAACATTTTTGATACAACAAGACTTTGGAGCTAATATCTAGAGATTTTTGGTGACTCCAGATGTAGAAGGCAGTCAAAGACTTTGTATAATTATATGACATTTATTTAAGATAAAAAATTCTTTGTTATCAATCTTATAGAATTCTTCAAGTATTACCTATTCTAAAACAACTGTGATCTTTTGCTTCTATGGATTTTATCATGGATCTTCTAGTATTATGTTTGTATGATTCTATATTTATGATAATAGATTATTTTACCAAGATGGCACATTTTGAACTATATTTAAAATCTATCAGACATGAAGAAACAGCTAAACTTTTCTTTGACACTATCTATTACTATCATAGATTGTTCAAGGATATTATATTAGATAAGAAAATTTAATTTGTATTAAGATTTTAAAATTTTATTTTTAAGATTCTAAAGGTGAATATAAAGCTTTCTTTGGATTTTTATGATATATAATAAACTATCAACAAAATGATTGGACAAGCCTTTTATTATTCATGGTTTGCTTATAATAATACAATACATTCTTTTAGACAATAAACATCTTTCTTTGTTAATTATTGTTACCATCTATATCTTAAAAATTTTGACTTTTCAAAAGTTGATAATCACATGACAAAAGTTTTAGTGAATTATTTATCTAAGTTATATACAATAATAAAGGCACATTTAAAAGAAACTGAAGAATAACAAAAGACCAATATAGATGCCTATTACAAGGAGAAACTTTAATTTCATGTTAATAAAAAAATATGATTATTTTATCATAATATTAAAATTAGTCACTCTTACAACAAATTAGATTATCATAGGCTTTAACTATTTTTTATTTTTGAATAAAATAATCATGTTGTTTATCAATTATATCTATTGGAGTCTATGAAGATCCATCATGTATTCCATGTATCTCTTCTTAAGCCATATAAGATAGTGAATATCTCAGAAAGAAGGCAAATGCCATCTCTTCCTACAGAAACAGATAATAATGAAGAATTCAAAGTAAAAGAAGTCTTAGATTTAAAATAGTGTTGAAATAGATTAAAATATTTTATTGATTAGTGTGGATATGATATAAATGAACTCACATAGGAGCCAACAAAGAATCTTGCAAATATATCAAATAAAATTGGGGCTTTTCATTAAAGACATCTATCAAAATTAAAATGAAGAAAAGTAAGATCTATGATAGGTGATGATCACTCCATATAAAACTCATCTTTAGAAGGAGAGGTAATATCATGGACATATGTATTACTCCAATAATTATTTATATGATTAGATAGAAGTAGATAATATATAGATTAATTTCATAATATCTTTTAGAAAAGCTTCCTAGAAGCTTTATAGATGTGGCTTTTATTTTACACATATTTGTAATTAGTTGGTAGTTTAGAAACTTGCTTAACAAGTTAACCACATGTCACATGTATTGGTAGCTTATGGAATAAGCTAACTTTGTGGCACATATATAAAAAACTTGCCTTATAAGTTAAGATATATGTCTTGTAGAGCCAACACGTATTAGAAGTCCCATAGAACATTGTGACATGGCTCCTAGTTAGATAGAATATATAGAGGTAAGAATAAAGCCTTCTTTACTCTTATCAATGCCTTTCTAGTCCTTAGTCTTGTTTCAAGACTTTCTAGTCTTCTTATCTTTGGCAATAGCCATTCTAATTTAATATTATATCACATTTGAATGATACAAGAATGTCTTAATCTTTCAATTCTTTGAGATTCATATCCTTGATACTAAATTATAATATTTAATTTAATTATTTTATATTATGAATATTTTTAAGTATGATTAAATTTTCTATAGAATTTTTTTGAATTTATTTATTTATTTATACAATGCAAAATTTCTAAAATTCATTAAATTTAATATAATTTTTAATTACCTTTTAGATTTTTTAAAAAAATTAAATTTTATGTTAACTAATAAATTTATTTATATATTTAACTTAATTATAAATAATAATAAATAATAATAAATAATAATATTACTACTAAAGGAATAGTATTCAAATTTATTTTTTATTTATGCTATAATCTCTTACAACCAATAATGTGGAATGTTTTTTTAAATCAACAAGATGCATCAAATTTATTAAAGGAAAGTACAGAGTAAGGGAAGAGAGAAAAACACAAAACTTGAATTATAAAAGTAATTATAATTATAATAATAATAATAATAAGAAAAAAAAAAAAAAAAAAAAACACATATGTGTGATAATTACACTTTTGTGATAGCCATGTTGTTTACAAAATATCAAAAGGTAACAAAACAATCCTCAAACAATCTTCAAGCTCAGGCTCCAACTCCTCCTGTTGATAGCATTGCTTATTCATGAGAATGTTGTTGAACCCTAATGTGATGAAAAATAAATTCCTTGCAAACAGACTATTCTCAAGTGCTGTGAATTCAATTGCTTGGGTTGAATTGAATTGCTTGGGTTGAATTCAATTCCACACCAAAGCTGGTGAGGAAATGTATTCTTGTAAATCAGAAGATGACTAACTGCCTTGATGTGGCCTGAAATTTGAGAATGTCCATGGATGCGAGGATTGAGCGGGCGCATGTGTGTCGGTGCCATGGCGAAAATCATTACCGCTGCATCGTTTCAATTCGTGAAAGGGCCATAACTCTTGTTCACAGAGAGTGTGCTTATGTACCCACGTGAGCAAATGGACAAAGGCTAATGCGTTTCACTATTCTACAAAAAGCTGCGCAAATAGCATACTTCTTTTTCACCTCCTTTTCTGGCCATGAACGAAATTGAGTGTGTTAGTGTTCAACAATTTCAGCGGCTCTGATCATCGGATCCCTAAATGAAGAATCCTGAATCTCAGTCCAGATGTTTCACAACAAAACCTTAATGCAGTTGCATGCCTGCTTGAGAAATCCCAGTCTCAGCAGAAGTGAGAAAGTGACACTGAGAATCAATAATAGGAAAGAGTTGCTGCAACGATATCGAACACCAGAGCGCCAAGTGTCACTTCAACTTAAGCAAAAATCGAAGAAGCAGCCATCTCCCCAGGTTGTTTTCAACACCATCGCATCAATCCTATCGTATTCACATTCTCTAGAGTCCGCAATGCTGATACTCTTCCAAAAGATGCAAAAGTTCATGGACCTGCATGTTTGACCGCAGAAACTATCTGTCAGAAGCACGAATCTGGCAGGCAATAAAAATTAACAAGAGTTTTTGTCCTCCTAACGTTATACTAAGACCAAACATGGGTCGCACACCATTCAGCAATGTGAGCAAAATCAGGGATAATGGAAGCAAATGATTAGCCGAATGTATGATTCAAAGAGTGTGAGAGCCCAATTAGGCCGCTATTTTACAGTTTTCAATGTACAGATTACTCTGATACAGGACTCTTTCTACGATGCGCCGACTAATAATCGATGAGATTAACATGCGTCGAATACTGAGCGCTCCTTTATGAGATCAACCTTCGCGGCACAAGTACGACTGCTGCTGACTAGAATGTCCGTGCGCAGTCTTATCGATTCTTGAGGGTCCTTCCTGTAGCAGTCGTCTTGTCGATGATGGGAAAAATGACAATAATTCACCGGTACTGTTGCATCTCCGAAATATTATTGCTTACTTGCCTGGTTCATCATCGCCAGCACTTGAACGGAGACAACCTGGCCATCCTGCACAGGGATGTCGAAGATTTGGGGCGTCTCGGAGGCAATATCAATGACTCGCAACAAGCTCCCCGCATTCGTCTCCTTATCCTTCCCAGACGCCGCTTCAATGGCAACAATCTTTCCTTTAGTGCCCACAAACACCTCCAAATTCGCCAGCCTGGAATCCAACATAATGGTATCCCACTCATCCCTCTCTGGGACGTAAACCTTGAGTTTCCCTGCCGGCGTCTCCAGAAGATAGAATTTCCCATTCACTGACACGCAGGGTCCTCTCCAGCCCCACTTCAAACCAGGCGACATCTCCAACCACGAATTGGTGCCGAGGTCGTAGACAACGCCGTCTTTCGAGAAAACTCCCCGCCCACTCACGAAGTACAGTTTGTTGTTGTTCAAGACGGCATTCATTGCCTCTCCACTGAACTTCGAGGTGGACAACTTCTGCAACCTCTCCCACTTGTCGTTCTCAAGATTATAAAACTCAGCCGATTTGGAGAGCTCCTGGCTCCAATCCTTTCCGGAGCCGCTAGCGACGTACACCTTCTCGTCAGCGACCCCGCAGACGCACCACTTGCGCGGCACGCTGAAAGGGGAGCCCTGCTTCCAGGAATTCGTGCTGGTATCGAAGATGTAAGGGTGCTCGAGCGCGGGTTCCACTGTCATCCGTGGCTGCCCATCCTTCTTTGCTTTAACCGCGGCCACCATCACGAGTTTGGAGCTAGTGCTGACACACTGCACGGAATAGGAGACCCCAATGCAACCTGGATTTAGAAGCTGAAAATCCATCGGGTGAGGTGTTGGAGGCAGATCGTGCCATTGGGAAGACAGAGGGTCAAATGCGCGCCACTTGAACGACTTGTCCTGCATCTGCACTAATGTGTATACCCAGTCAAGCTTGCTTCTGCCGATAGAGGCCCTGAAACTTTGGAAGTAGGGATCGTAGATAATATTCTGCCATGTCTTGCTCACGCCGGTCAGGCTACCAAGTGGGACTCGGGCAAGACATTCCATAGCGAGGTGATCCGGCAGACCTGGCAGAATCTGCCCAGCGCATTCCATTGGTGTGTTGAGAATCGCGTCTAGAACCTGTCCTAATCGAACCCTTTTACATGAACCGTCCATTTTGTGCCCTCTGATAGTAAAAGCAGGTAAATCGAATTTCAGCAAGTCCTACCACAGTGACAAAGGAGATAATTCGTTGCGGTGTCGATATTACCCTCCCCCATTCGCCACTCAATGCCCAATCACATCAATTCCGCAACACCCGCCCAGCTCTTCACAACTCTTTCTCTAACTCCAAATGTGAAGTGCTTAAAGACTGCGCGAGTGACCACTTCAACCGTGCGCTCACCGATACAAACGACACAGAAATCCTTCCTACAGTCCACTGCACCACTCGTTCCCACGCGCCCGCACAAGTACAAACACGGCGATGATTCAAAACGCTGGCGTCGCCATAATAATCGACCAGACGAAGCAATGTCGGTGGCTCGCTCGCCACGCTCCAGACCCAAAACTTTCACTCTTCTCTCTCCACCCACACACCATCCACCGCTTCCACCCGCTGCCAAGGTAATCCCCACTACTCCCGCAACGAACCTCTCCACGCCAAATCCAACCGAAATCATTCGCAACTCCTGGCCACAACAAAGTGCACCTCTCCACTACCGCATCGGAATAAACAACACCACCGGAACTCAATTCCTGCTCAACCACCACCCACCTCCTCCTCCACCTCCGTGGCGCACTAAGAAACTCTTTAAACAGTATCAAACGTAGTGGGAAAACCAACCAGAGAAAGGATCCTAGGCAACGAGGCGGTGAAGAAGAGCGAGAAGGGGGGGGAAGGGGGATTTTATGTGCAGGGAGGCGACCACATGAATGGCGGGGGGTGACGGAGCAGCGAGTGGAGAAGGTGCGAGGAAGGATAAAGCAGTCCTAGTAGTCGTAGTAATAGTAGCCAGCAGCAGGCATCAGCACTACTGGGGCACGACGTCGACCAGGCAGGCTGACGTGCAAGGGGCCAGCCGGAGACTTTTTAGCGGAGCAAGGGGCAAAAAGGTGTCTGACAAGGAAGAAAAGTACACTGCGGGGGTCTAGCTCTGGACTGTGGGTGGACGCGCCTCCCCCGCGGGTGCGCTTATATTTGGGGCAGCACCCCCTGCCCTCGCTTCTGCTCCTGCGACACTTGCCTCACCAATAGTTGCAACCCAGCCTCCCCCATCCCCGTTGGAATTCCTTTATCGCGTCGCTCCCTCGCGTCGTCGCCACTTCTGCCTGCTGCTCGGGGGCTTTGACTCACTCCAGCACATCACCCGGCCTTCACCCGCGCTGCCGTGGTGGTGGTGGTGGTCGAGGTATTGTTGCGCCATGACGTAAGCACCGTTGCTTTGTGGCGTTGCTAATACATTCAATCATGGATTGTGTTAATCATAAGTATTTTATAAGAAATGATGGCTTTAAGTGAGAGCTTTCATGTGTAAGAGAGAGACTGAATGCACATTTAAACAAGGGAAGTTAACAAGCCCTTTCAACAATCAACATTCTTGTGTCCTATTTTTATTTTTATATATATTGATGCTATTGACATGCTCAGTAGCATGTGGGTTTTCTGCTAGTACATCAATGGTTAATGACAAATGTTGGTGATGGAAATCTAGATTGTCGAATGATTTTTTTATTTTTTTGTGCAGCTTGGTTATCTATACCAAGATTCGAACTGGATATTGCTCTTGTAATTTATCACGACATTTTATTAGGTTTCATCCGACAAAATTTTCTGTGAATGTTTTAAGTGAGGGCAGCACTTTTTCATTACTGAAATTGTACAAAGAAGTTGTGAACAAAATAAATATAAAAAACAGAGAAAACTCACTAGAATAATTAAATCATTTGGCACTCTTTAGAAGAAGATACACCCAACTCTCTGTTATAGTTGCATTGATAAAATGACCAATAATTACTAAAGCAAGTTTTTGATACTGTGACCAATAAATACATGTACTAAATTTTGAATTTTTTCTAAAAAGTGGGTTTCTCTTGATGGAGATTTTATCTTCCACATTATGATTGTGATATTGCCCTTCAACTTTCCAAGATCAATAATTTTCTTTCCATTAAAAACAAGGCTCAACCAATCCAATGATGGTCTTTAGCAGATCCAGATGGGCTTTGGCCAATCCATGAGCTTTTTAGAAGACCCACAAAGGTAGCTGGTTTTTGAAATTAAAATAAAGAAGTAGAAGAAGAAGAAGAAGAAGAAGAAGCAGGAGGAGGAGGAGGAGGAGGAGGAAAATACACTTCTCAATCATGGATATGGTCATGATTGAAATTTGGGGCAGCTCAGGCTCAACCCTAAAAGCATTTTTTGTAACTTTAAAACTTAATAAAAGGTGGTGATGCAATAGTGGATCATGTGCATGCTGTCACCAGGGCACAGAATCTGCAGCAAGATTGTATTGTGAGATCATTTGGTTAACAGCTTGATGCCACTATATGTATTAAGCATATTGAAATAGCTGATGACTATGGATCACACTCTGGCCTTGTTTTTGGCTACTAGCCAGTGTGTTAGAATGGCAGCATAGTATGCGTCAACTCCTGTAATAATATGCCCATGTGGCAACCAATCCCTCACTCTCTTCTGGAAGAGGTTGATGGGGCTTTGTTGCTGTTTCAAAAGCAGCCCATAATTGGAGCTTAGTGAATGCTGTTTGCTCTGGAGAAAGGAGAAGCAAAAACAAAATTAATAACAACTTTTTTGCATTTGATGTGGTCATAAAAACTTATTTCTTTGAGAAAAAAGTATTGTGTGTCTCTTATTAGATGGGATAACTGCCTTTTCACATGGTGGTAACCTTTATCAACACCTAGCTCTTTTTAAATTTATGGAAAACTAACTTTGAAAAAAATATGAGTCGAAAAGATCAACAATTGTTTGAGATTGGCTCTTACACGTCAAAATTATCAAAATCAGTGTAAAACTTATACTTACATGATGTTAATTTAAATAAATTTCTGAATGTATTGATAATTGTAATCCATGTGAGATTTTGTGTATTAAACATATATTCTTCAATTTTTTTTTGTAGAAAACACTAATTTTTACAAAAAAATAGTGTTACAACAAGAACAGTGGTTTTCCCAATGTGCAATCAATCCTCAAAAGTATGTAGATTAATTGTTTGTTTGGTTCTTTTTATGATCTATTGTAAAAGAAGTCAGTGGTATTTCTTTCACTTGTTAGATTATGGTAGAAATTTGAAGTGGAACAAATTACTATGAATTTAAATACCAAACACAATATATATACATCAATTAAGATTAAAGAGTGAATTAAAACTCGTTTTAAAATTACAAAGACATATAATATGACATTGTTCTTAGGCAACTAAATCAAATTAATAAAGAATATATTATCAAATAACTAAGTCTTGATATATTTGGTAATATCTATATATATACATATACTATAAATTAATAGAATAAAGAAGGAATATATTTTATTATTAAAACATGGAAAAAAAATCATCCCATGTTTCCTCGAGTTAGGTCAGCTGACGTGGCATTCACGTCAGCAGCAAGGCAAACTCGCCCACTCCTCACGAAAGCAACGAGGATTCATTCATGCACCAAACCCCACATACATTTTGGCAAGTGGATGAATGTGGGTGAAAAACGGTGATAATTGGATGAAATTCAGGTAGTTTATTTACTGCTGAGCTGCGACCTCGCATGCGACGTGTGGCGCATCTGGCCTCGCGACAAGCGCAGCACCTGTCGCGCCCAGAGCTAAACCAGGAAGAAGAGGATCCTTACAGAATCGTATGGAGACAGAGGAATGGATCTTGCCGGGCTTGGACGGATACTCGAAATGGCAGGATTCCAACTCTAGGCGGGCTCTCTCCATCAACTCAGTGGTGCCCAATACCCCGCGCCTTTCCCTTTAATGCTGTTGCTATAATGGAGCTTGTCCGCTTTGGGCTCAAACTGCGGCCATCTTTCACGATGATTACCCGAAAAATAAAAAGGATATCCAATATTACGAAATTGTAAAAGAAACAAATCGGAGGCTGAGTATTGCTGGGGCTCCACCCAGATATTGCGCTCAATCTATTGTCATCTTGGTTGTTCGCGTGTCGTTCCAGCTACCTTGTGAAATCTTTTTCCAGCCTTTGTGAAACGGTTCTCAAAGCTTTCTCAGCTGCAGATTTGTTATTTTCACTTTCTAGTGAAAGCCAGCAATACGAAATGACAACCCGACAAACATTGCACTAATGTGTAATTAGACCAGAAAGGATTTAAAAAGCATATAAAATGATGAGGAACGTAATTTTGTTAGTTACGAACACTTCACTCAGTGATTGGCAATATCAAATGGTCGACGTTATTTTCACTTCTGAATGGAGGATGTAGATAAAAGAAGCACAGAGCTCATTCTATCAATGACCGATCTTCCTTCCTCATGTATTGCATGCTTTATTCTCCCTTCGAATCGTTTCCTTTTTTTTCACTCTTTTCTGTTTTTCCCTCCATTAATGACACCTTGGAAGAGGTCAGAACTGCACTGCAGAGGTGTTTGCATCACATGGTAAAGTATACTTTTGTCAACAGAATCTCATGGTTTCTGTGGTACAGAGTCACACACACACACAAATAAATAAATAAATAAATAAATAAATAAAATATAAAACATACATATATTTACCCTAATTTACCTTTTACAAAAAATTTGGGAATTCAATAATCAATTAGAAACCCCACTAATTAATTTTTTACTTAAAGAAGTCTGAAGCAAGGCCTACTAGCTCACAATTTTCAAGTAGAGTAACAATTGAGGTTAAAATTAAGGGTGCATAGGCGAGGAAAATAGCACTTAAAGTTGCAAGTTTAGGGTAGCAGTATCCTCTAGGTCGGTGCTTCCCATGCAATTATGAGGTCTGTGCGACCATCTCTTGAATGACTGAAGAGACTGACCCTCAGCATGGCTTAAAAATGTAATTATAATCATTCTTTCTGTCTCCGCTTCTGAGTCGCCAAATCTCCCAGCCAACTGCCCCAAACCACTTCACAATGCTGACTCCCCACTGTAACGTACAGAACAACATTCTCAGCTTTGCTTCAGTGCTGACTCTGCACTGCACCTCCATTTGTG